TTTTCGTCAAGAATCGACGGTTGATACCAAAAGACCCGGCACTATGGGCAAGAAAGACTACAAAGGAACTATCCTTGATGGGAGAGACTCATTCGACAGCTGGAAGATGGATCTTGAAGACAGTTTGTTGAGTGAGGATCTCATGGGCTACGTCACCGGTGATGCAGCACCGGAACCGTCAGCCTTATCAACTCCAGGAGAGAAGAGTGCAGCGGACATCAAAAATATCTCTCTTGTGAGAATGAAGATACGACAGAGCATCGACCAGATCCACAAGAACTCAGTCAACCACCTCATCGATCCACGAGCGATTTACCAGTCCCTCGTCAACCGATACGCCGCATCGAATAAAGCGCGCCTCCGACAGCTCATCCGGATGATGTACGACGTTAGCACGCAGACTCATAGAACTGTGCAGGAAAAGGTTGACGACCTTAAGCGCCTTCGAGCTCAGATCAATAGCCAAGACAAAGATATCGTTATCCATGAGCAGCTCTTGATTTGCTTCCTACAAATGAGTATGGACGATGCCTTCGACACGACAATCGAGATCCTGAATGCCTCGACAGATACCCTGACAATGGAGAAGGTGCAGAGCGCTCTGGAAAGCAAGGAGTTGGAACTCGCCGATGTAACAATCAAGGGAGAAACTGCACAATTCGTGGGTCGCCGTGCACGGAACAGAAAAGACAAGGGAAATAATGGGTCTAAGACACTAGATAGTGGCGATGATAGTAAGAAGGAGTATCTGAAGGAGGCAGGGGGATGCTGGTGCTGTGGCGGTATGCATTTCAAGCATGATTGTGCAATCTGGCGCCAGACAAAAGTGATTGTGCAATCTGGCAACAGACAAAAGCAGGGAAGGCTTGGCTAGCCTCTGAGAAGGGGAAGGCGAGAGTATCTCTGGAAGGAAAAGAGAAAGCAAACGCAACCCGGAAACTTGACGACAGTGGTAGCGAATCTGAGAAATCTGCCTACTTGCTTCCTAACGCAAAAGTGACAGCTCCTCCACAATGGTATCTCGACAGCTGTGCTTCCGTCCACATCACCCCAAGGAGAGACCAGTTTATCTCAAAGTTATCCCCCGTAAAGACGCGTGTCGAGATTGCAGACGGCTCTGAAGTCCGTTCAAGAGGGAAGGGAGATGTGAGGATCTTTTACATCTCACAGAAAGGAAGAGCAAGATCGACGATAGTACGTGGGGTGCACTATATCCCAGACGCAGCGAGCAGCCTGCTATCAGTCGGTCAACTGGAAGACAGAGGAGCACACGTTGTTGTAGACTCTCCAGGGAAGACAGTTACGGTGACAAGAAACCAGCAGGAGGTACTGTTTGGTCACAGACATAAGAGGGTGTGGCGCCTGAGCCAGACCAGAGAGCACCAAGCCCATATAATCAAAGGAAAAGCTGAAAGGAAGATTTGAGATGAAAGATCTCGGAGAGGCAGAGAATATCCTCGGAATTCGGATTCAAAGGTACAAAGGAAAGCTGACTATTGACCAATCACAGTTTGCGAAGGAAACCGTGGCGCAGTTTCTCTATGACGACTCGATGAAGCATTCAACTCCTATGGAACCTGAAGCTATACGGAAGCTCGTTGAAGAACCAGGTCGGCCTCTGAACCATGATGAGTAGTTACAATACGTGGAATTGCTCGGAAAGCTTATATGGCTGTGCAATACAAGATTCGACATTATATTCGCAGTTAACAGGATGGCGTCTTTTACAGTAGAGGCATGCTGGAACAACTGGAAGGCTTTGCTGCGAATATTGGGTTATGT